TTTATCACAAAACCCCTGAGATTTCTCTGTGCTTTGCAAAACACTGTGTACAGCAATAAACAGAATCCATTGTTTTCATTACTCATAGGTGTACTGCTTTTAATGGTGACAGATTCAGAACAGTATATGTAAATATAATATAAATATTAAAATATAAATTAGTGATGCAGAACATGGAGAAGTGCCAAGGCCTTCAAGTAAAGAAGTGAAAAAGACGTGCACAAATAGAATTTTGTAATCTTCAGAAAATATTCTGAAGAGCTACTGGGATTTTTTTCATGATTATGAAGGAAACTTTTTATTCAAATTTGTTACCTCTCCTGGGATAAGACCATAAGACAGTTAAAACCAGGGTCAACCAAACTGTGCCCAGCTCTTTAAATTAGCCAAGTGAAAATGCACATACTAAATTGTATACTGTACTTTTAGTGCTGTAAAGATCAATTATCCGCACAAACGAAAGGAGACTTTGTGTATCACTTCAGTTATAAAGACTTTAACAGAACTTCGGAACATAACTGAAGAATTTTGCAATCTAGGATAGGAATCCCATTCAACCCAATGAGATTTAAAACAGAAATTTGGTGCACAAGTCAACTTTAGAAGTCAAGATTAGAAACATTTTCATGTTAATGTGAGGATAGACTGTGTGACTAGAGCACATTTAGAAAGCCCAGTTGGAACAAAAGGCTCTTGAACACAATAGTTTTACAATAAAACAAAACAAATAAAAACGCTGTCAAGGTAAAGTTACCACTTTTGCTGAGAAAGGAAGTATGCATACATGAATGTTATATAAAAATTAAATAAGTTTTCTTTGATCTGTTAACAAGAAAGCTAAACAAGCCAGTGGATATTCTCCAAATAACTTCTCATTATTAGAATTTTTTTTGATGTCCAAATTGCTTCCCAAAAAGAACAAACATGGGTCCTCTGGGAGAAGAGACCTGAAAGCCAGAAATAATCATTCTCTACACATCCTATTGTTAGGTGATGTCCAAGGTTAAGAGTTTCGTAGAACTAAAGAGAAAGACCATTTAGTTAATTTCCTTCAAATGGTTTCATATGAATAGCAACAGGACTTTAAGCAGGTTTAAGCAGGTAAATACTATCCTCTTTGGTTTTGTGAATTTTAATTGACTTTTCTACACTTCTGGACTACTGTCCTTCTTTCTTCATTTAAAAATTCAGGTTTTGAGAAATCAGATTAAGCCTTTGTGTTCTACCCATCAGCAGCCAGCAATGACTAATGCAGTGGGGTGGGAGTGCACTTCACTGGCCTCAACACAGTGTCGCTGAGTGGCATTAGGTGGCACAACTGCTGCACACCTCCTCAAGTGCCTTGTCCAGCTCTCATCTCTTGGTGTCCCTCATAAACTACCCATGGTGAAGGCTCTCAGAGCACAACAACTTGCCCTGCTACCAGTACTTCAGAGGTGCCTTTTTTCTTGGAAGAGCTATCAAACCCCTCTGTGTAAACCTCACAGCCTCCCCCTCTGTAACATTCAGACTCTGTTTGCCTTCAGCAGATGGTCCCTGGCCCCCAGCCCCTCAACTGTAGTCTGCAAGGTCACTCAGGAGTCAAGGTGGAATTACACAGTCTGTCCTATTTTACAGCTGACAGTTCCTGTTGGGTGACAGGCACCAGAAAGAACCCGGACCAGAAAATAAAGTTAATGATTACAGATCATAGAATCTTAACTGTAAATGGTGGGTTCTTCCTCGTATGTCAAATATTTATTTCCCTCTTCTCATGTCAGCTTCCACCACGAGGACAGGTGAGCGGCTCCATAGGCAGGAACTGCATGGATCAGAAAATTGGCCAGCTGTTTGCACGTCCAAAGGCAAGTTAAGTGGCTACCTTCTCCTGGAACTTCAAATTACCTGATCAGGTTTAATACTTCTAAGTTCACCTGAGGAAGTCTTAATCATGGTGAGTTAATCATTCAATGCACATCTGACCAAGGCCCTTGGCAGTGAAAAATATTCCAAAGTGCTTTTAGTAGATGGATGTTATTGCTTTACAGTGTAGAGTGCCAAACAATATATTAAAAAAGACACTGTATGCAACTAATTATCAATCAGGAATGTGAGGTTAGGGAAAAAGGTGTTGGAATGCAATAATGAGTACAGAAAAAGCAGCATTTAGTGTAATAGAAAAATCAGTGCACCAAAGATTCAATTCTGCAAGAGTAGGTGTTCTGCAAGTTAGATGTCTTAAACTCATCACTACTTTTAAGAACAATGTTGCATATCATTCCATTTTGAAATTCTATTATTATAAACATGAAAAGATTTATTTATATAACATGATCTACACAAAAAGAGTAAGACTAAAACTTTGGACCATCACAGATGCATATAGGTATTAAAAGGACACTTGCACAACCAATATCTTTTTTCATATGTTTCTTGTCTGTCACCAGTTTTAGGTGTGCACTGTATATTTGTAGAAAGCTTATTTGATGGGAAAAAATGTGAAACTGAGAAGGAAACTATTTTCATAACAATGCTCAATCATTTGCTTCAAAACTTTTAATTAAAATTTAAAATAAAAGGCACATTTTTCCTTGTTCAAAAAAATGCTGAGAATTGCAGTAAAGAAAATGAGGACTTATATCTCTACAGAATTCCTTTAAGCTTCACTTTACCTAATCAAGTCAAAAGTATAAGTTATCCATGAAGAACAAAATGTTACATCTGATTCAAAGAAACACTAGAGTTCTAAATGTATTGTGGTTCATAGTTATTTAAATATTTTAAAAAATTACTATAAAAACCTTAATAATACCATTACCATTAAAAAAATCTATTAAGCTTTTCAAGTCATATTCACTTTCTGTGATGTTTTGCAAACTTTCCATCTTATTTTGGTACAATATTTCAACTCTATACAGTCTTTTTTGTGAGTTTACAATACAGCAACAGTAACAACAAAAATAACAATAAAGCCAAATTCTTGAAGTCTTCTGTTTTCACTCTTTTCTTGAAGCTCCTATTATTGGTTTTCTTCCTTTCTGCGACTACAATCATGCTATTCCAAAGGAAAGATTTTACACGGGTTTGCTGTGAGCAGTATTTATACATATGGTTTCTACTTCACTGTATTTTATTTTTCAAGTCTGCACTGCCAAGAAACTGCACATTTGCAAAAAACATACAATTTGATGACTCCTTTACAATGGCCCGAATTAAACATTAAAGTTTGTGTGAAATACCATCTACACGGAGTACAGATGAACAAATTAAGGCCTGAATACTGCCAGTCAACACACAGAGACAGCACTGCTATACTGATGTTCACACGGAGTTCTACTGAATTTCAGTGAATCTCATTACATGGTTCCACATACTCAGCCATCTGTAGGATGAGGGTTTGACTTTGCTGCTTAGGAGTCACTGATGAGCTCCAGGCCTACCATCCTGCAACAAAGCCCATGAAGACAAACTTCACCAGCTGCAAAGGCTGTATCTGTGCTGTATTCATTGCAGGATCTTAGATTCAGGCTGGATATTAACAGACAACATCAAAATGATTGTGCTTTGATCTAGCAGCTGTTATCATCCAGGAGTTCTAGCAGAGGACCGTGCTTTTATCCCTCATGAAGGTAACACCTAAAAGCATGCAAGACACACTTTAAATAATGGGTGATTTAGTATCCAGTTGATTACCTGCCATTTTTTATCAGATTTTTTTATTCACATTAAAAAGGGTTAATTTTTCTAGAATGTATCCTAAAAGAAGGCATCATCCATTTTCATTGGGCCAAGATATGATCATGATCAGAAGTTTGTGGGGGTAGAAAAAGTCAATCTTAACATAAATGAACTATGAAATACTTTCTACACCACAAAATCAACATTATTAAGTCCTAGGGAACTATCAAGCAGGACAACTAAAAATCACATTCAAACTAATTAAACCAATCCTGTTCAAGTTTCTCTTATGTTCATCCATTAAAGTTTATAATTAGCTAATAACATAAGAAACAAGGGGGATTGTTTTTCAGTGTCTTTCCCATTAACCTAATTTACCAGAATAGCTATGTTCAAAGTAACAAAAATTTAGGTTTTGTGTTCTTCAAGATTATCTACAGCATTTTAGCATGTCTAAATCTGTATACCTTTGCTGCTTACTTCTAGATATAGCACATTGTTTTGCTGTTAAAAATAGCCCTCTTTATTAATCACGTACTCAGTACAATGGCGACACACTGTCTGTTCTAGTCCACATAAAGTGTCGTATCTTCTAGCAAACAACATCCTTGAGAAGAAAATAAACCTGAGGTAACTATTTACAGTGATTGGCGGCAAGTATTTCATGGTTTTTGTTTATTTCTACATCGGGAAGAATATTCCATCTGCCTTAAAGATAAAACTTTAGCACTGGAATTACATGCCACTTGTAATATGGTGTACAATTGGAAAATACTGCCAAAACCTCAGCTGCCATAACTCTCTATAGTCTTGCAATTGTTAGGGATATGGTCCCAGAGCATAAAATGCTACAGGATAAAATAGGATGCAATATTGTGGATTGACTCTTTTTTTTTTTTTTTGCTATATGTATAAGAAAGAGTAACTTTTCCAGAAGTTCTTATCCACTTTTCCCTAGAAATGTGGAAGTAGTGTATTGCTCAAAGCACTATTTTTGAGGTTGGCTTTTAGTTTAGCTAGAAACATTTTTGGATAGGCAGCAGAAACCCATGCTACAGTTCACAGAAGTTAAACATCCAGATCAGAACCAGTATCTTTACACAAGATTTGATTTCCTACTTTTTTAAAATAATGTCATGAATACACTGTGATCCTAAAACAAAAATTGAAAAGGGCAATGAATATTCTTAGCAAGGAAAAATAATCTGCCTTCATTTTTTACTTCACAGAAATGAAAAACATTTACATTAGAATTAGCCTGGAACATATTTTCAGCAATAAAATTAGACACTAAACCAGAAACTTAATGCAATAATAGTGAAGATGTCCTCTGTTTTTCACAGATCACACTACACAGACTGCAGACTACTATAAAAAATAGATGATGGTAAGTATTTGAGGGAAGTAAACAGACGGTCCAAGCCCACTAATCCAACATGTAATAACATTTGCCTGCAAATCAGGAACACATAGCTATAACTGATGTGCTGAAAGAAAGGAAACACAGAATATTTATTGAGATTTCTACCAGAGACCATTCGGATTTGATGTTATCTCAAGATAAATTCGACAGAACATCTATTTTGCTCTAAATTACAAAAACAATATTAATTTAAAAACAATGTCACTAGCAGATGTTAAACCAGTGAATCTACCTCTACTTAGAATGCGTAAAAGAAAAACTATGTAAAAAATTTAGAAGTTGTAAACTTCTATTTTTTTTCCTTTTATTACCAATCATTAATCTGAGAGATGTCACCCAACATGTTGTTTATTTAGCTCTTGATCTTTATTTGTCATAATTTTATAGATGATTTTTAATTTCTCCTTGGGAGTTGTTTATAGAGTTACTGAAGTAAATGCTTTTATGGCTTTTAGGCCTAACAAATCTTTACCCCACAAACAATCATATTTGTGTAAAAACACCTGCAGAACTGGACACTAAAGGATTTAGCTCATATTTTTTCCTAAGAAAGCTAGCCCCAAACCAAATCTCTTTCTCTGCAAAGAAACTTGTGCTTATTCTTGATCAGGTTTTTGTGCCTAGTGCTAACTGATACTCAAATACTTGAGTTTACCCCTAAAGCATGAGACAGAAAAAAATTTACATGTAGTACAACAAAACCTCTGTTAAATATAGCTATGCACAAAGAAAATGGTTTGCTAATACAATCCTTTATGAAAAATTTAACCTAATATTGCTGTAATATATAAACTGAAAAGCAAGTATCATTGATCCATTAGAGGACCTTCTTTAGAAAAGTAATAGAGCTGAGAATGAATCCTGTAAATTTGGGTTGGTTTTACCCTTTCATGATTCTATTGACAAGCCTCAGAAGTAGGATTTCTGCCATACATGATGATGATATTTTAATATCAACAAGCCTTACTATAAAGTATTGCAGTTTACCAGCACAGATCACCTCATAGTTAGAGACTAAAACACTTTTTTTGCTGTACCATATGGTCTGGTACAGAGAAATTAGCCACTACCTTTTGCAGTTATTAAATTGTTCTTCTGTTTCCAGTGGGGAATCAGGTAGGTGATTAGAAGTCCTAATCATTGAGATTATCCATGCAGGAAATGTACCACCTAGCCATTTTTTCATCTTCTTTAAGTGGAAGAAGTACCTGCAATATGGAAAATACCCCAGAGGGCAGCAGCGTGGAGGTGAAGGGTTGAGGGTGTAATTGTTTTTGCTGCCTACTGGTGCCTGGTGGTTTTGGTGCTGTGTTGTGGCAGGGCCAGGCTCCCTTTATGCCAGGGCCTACATGGAAAGAAAAGATGGTGACAACCACAAAGCACTTGGATTTGCCCTTAAGAGCAAGGTCCTTCTTCCAGGGGACTGCAGAGGAAAGAAGAGGGAGTAAGCTAGAGAACGGATGAGGATAATTTCATAGAACCATAGGCTATCCTGAGTTGGAAGGGACCCACAAGGATCATCGAGTCCAACTACTGGCCTTGTGCAGGACAGTGCCAGGAATCACACCATGTGCCTGAGAGCATTTTCCAAGCACTTATTTCACATGGTAAATATTCTCTTGACAGAATCGCTCTTGGAGCACTGGGACACATGCTGGACTAGCAAAACCTTGAGACAGAGAGACCCACATCAGGGGGAAAAGACTGCCTACACCTTGTGGGAGAGGGGAATACTGCAGCTGGGTAGTCCACTGCATTCTTGCAGGCCAGAGATGCCTCAGCAGCTCCCAAGTCCAGGAGTTGCAGCTGCACTAAATCATCAGTTTCCCTATCTAACCCCAATTTAGCACCAATTTTCTAACACTAAGGTGAATCCATGCAACTGAATCTTCACCTGCTTAGTGTGTGGGTGCACGGCCATACAGGTGGGATTACATTCTCCACATAGCCAACCAACATTACATCACTGTCCTAAAGCATTTGCAACTTTATGAAAGGGAAGAAATTCAATATCTCTTTATTTGTAGCAAGAAGCCAACTTCTTGCTGGCTATTTTTCACAAGAAGAATCTCTGACAATCATGCAGAGCAAGCAATTGCTAATTAAGCTAATCATTTGGAGACAGGCAGATCTATAGACATCATCAGGCACACCCTGGTGCTGTCTCTGCTAGTTCTTCCCTCCATTCTCCTGTAAAGGCTGTTCTACCTTTTTGCTACCACTAGTTGCTTTGTTTTTCCATGGTCATGTCAGTGTAAGAACAAAGGGTATGTACACAGGGAAGGAATGTTGGGCACTGTTAAGATAAGGAAGGGACAAACAGTTTCTTTTCTCAGAATGTACAAACCTTACTTTTTTAATGATTTCCCCATAAATCCAGAGTTTATTCAAAATGCACACACACTGACCAACAGCAACTCCCATAAACAGACTTGGTTGTTCTTATTAAGTGGGAACTGTGACTGCTCCTCAGTTTAGTCCAAAACACATCTCTCTGCCCCTGACATGGGCAGTGAGAGCAGCCTCTTCCATAACTTCAGTGATACATTTCCTGCTTATTGCTCTAATCTGTCTGTCCTTGCTGTGGGTTTTTTTGGCAAAACACTTAAGAAATGTATAAATATTTTTTACGCACAAATATTGTGGGGGTTTTATGGCCTTATTAGGCCAAATTTATCTCAAGCAGAGTTCTTTGTATTCACACAAGACAATAAAAGGTTACTGAAACTTGACCAGTTTTTGTCAAGAAACACAAATTTCTGGATCACAGGACATTTTGCCTTCAAAGAAGACATATCAAGTAATTCTGAAAGCTGCTGTACAGAGCTTAATTTAATAGTGACTCAGGAGATGATGTCTCTAGTGAATTTAGACCTACTTCTGGAAGTTCTCTTTGACATAGTCCCACAGACCTTTGAAAGGAAATTGGGACCACAGGAACAGAACATTTGCATTAGGTTACTCAAGATCTTTCTAACCTTACCTATTCTGAAGAGAGTGTTAATCTAAATAGTAGCCTTGTTTACATTATGTGAATCGAATCCCCTCACATGGGCCCAAAGGTGAAAAATTTGGAATCAGTTAGTGGCTAATCTTGCTAACAGGTGTGCTCCAGTTAGACACAGGGCTGACCAGAGTGTTTGTTTAGAAAGTATGGTCATGTTTTGGCCCCTCATTTTCAGCATGTAGTATTAGGCCACACAAGCAAGTGGCTGGCAAATAAGCCTGTATGGGGAGGTATCCTAATAGCTCTTCTGAGGGAATTAGCTTTGCCTTATGTTAAATATACTAGCGTGGGTTATATTATTTTTTCCCCTACACATTGAACCCAAATTTGCCATTAATAATCAACAGGTTTTCCTGTGTCCCATCTTTTGTAAACTGCTTTTCAGAAACAGAGAGCCCATGACTCCTTCAACATTAATCAGCTGGAATAAGAAAGAGCATGGAATAAGTCAATGTTAAGTAGGCATTAGAGACTCCAAAACTGTTAGCATTATCTGACTAATAAGCAGTGGTCAGGAAAGTGTCACTTTGTAGGCTGATAATACCATCATTACTTTGAAGTGGTGCATGCACCAGCAGAGAAGGAGCACTGCTGTTTCTAGAACAACAAAGGCATCCTGCACACGCTAAGGGAGAAAGCAGACATGAAACCAGATGAAAGAATAGAAGAGGGTTTTCTGTTTTACTAAGCTGCCAGAGTACCAAAACTGTACATATGAGGCAAAGGAAAACAACTGCACACACATAAGGAAAAAGCCAAATGTGTGGGATTCTAGTTGCTGCTGAATGCTTTATTCCTCTGGATCAGCACCAGTATGTGAAAGAACACAGCAGAGAGCAGTGGGAATTCCTCCAAGACTAAAAGGAAGATAGGAATTATTAATTAGAACTTGAAATAAAGTGTGTGGACCTATAAATGCAAAAATCCAAACAGAAGTCTATGAACAGAGAGTGAAAGGTTAATCACCCCTGGTATTGTTATTCAAATTACCTGAGAGCTGGAGTGAGGCACTGTTCAACCTTTGCATGGGTAGGCAAAGCTGACCCACAGATAGCTGGCAATGGTAGCCACATTAAAACTTGCTTTCTGGTGTTCTAAAACACTTCAGGGTAATAGCTATATAGGTTTGCCCTTCAGTCAAAGCAACATAGTTTTCTGCTTGGATGGCATTGGCAATTTATCTTTGATTCTTTTAATGTTGAATACCACCTATGACAGAAAAACAGATCATTTCTTAGTATAGCACATCTTGTACTAGGCTATTTGAACTTCTATTTTCCATGACTTAGAGGGGAAGAAAAATCAGAGAAAGACAGACAAACAGAGGACAGATTGCTTTTCAGTTAAAAGTTCAGGAAATGTTTTCCCAATCCAGGCAGATTATGCTGGTAACTGAGAAGCTGAAGAATCATCATTACGATAATTTTTTCCCTTTTTCATTCCGTCATTAGCCCAGAGATCGCAATGCCCCTGTGGGGCCTCACTTCTGATTCTCTGAGGAAAGCTGAGCAGTCTTCAGAGCCACAAGATGAGACAAAGCTGCAGCTATGAAGAGTGGGGCAGAAGCTTTGGCATCTTTCCCTCCCACAAACTTTTATTAGAGGTCAAGCAAACTACTGAGGCCTGCTATTACAGAGATGAAAGAAGAACAGTTTTGTGATACTGCTGATATATGTAAATAAATAAATGAAATAGGAAAGACAATTGAGGCTCCTCGATTCCAGTTAGGAAAACACAAAATGACAGCTTTCACAACAGACTGTTCCTGGAATGCTTTTCAACCTTCTGACCTCAAAGTCTTACAGTCCAGGAAAGGACAGTTTGTTACACAGTGCCTGAGTTCAGTGACTATACAGGCTTTAGATAGCAGTAAATTTATTCACCTCCCTTTTTTGCCCTCCAGTGTTCCCAGGTACTTTATTAGGTGGTGGTACTCCCCAGTTTAGTGCTCCCACTA